GGACGTTCAAGGGTTAACTTTGATCCTCTTCTGAAGACGCCATCCACTGGTGAAAAAAGACAACCGTGGTGACAGAAACGTCAGTAAAAAGTAATGTATACTGATGTGATTTTATTTGTCCAGAAACTCATGGAATTCTTTCAGCATTAAAAACACATGTTTCAGGTGTTACATTTATTTATATATCAAAACGGGCTATACAGGGTGTCCCAGAATAAAATGTAAATTTTTCGTATACTTTTTTTGTATAAAACACAAAAATAGTGCTACAAGTTCCTATAAAAAATGATATGCAGAAAATCAGCCCCTAAAAGATGCTTCTGGAAATTGTTTTTTCTTAAATAACCTTAGAATAACACTGTAGAATCCAGCGAAACTTTGACAGCCTAGCCAAACGTTGGCAAAACTCATTTAAAATGCTAGGGATGACCATGTCCCTGACGCAAGGTTGCTGTTCTAAGTTGAAACAGTATCCCAATAGATACTTAGATATTTTGTTTTTAAATAAAACCAACGATTTTAGAAAGAACATGCTTGTTCATATTAGCAAAATGTAGACGTATAACAGTTATATTTTACAAATAGTATTTCCGGAATATTCTCCTCAGCTGCGTACCCCCCGTAATAAAATGAGCCATAATTAAATTACTAGGTTTGTAAATAATACAAGTATTAAAATTCCGGGACAAGCTGTTCAAAAATGTCACAAAAAAGCCCAATGCACCTGTTGGGACATGCTGAGTAAATGGATCTAAGTTTTTTTTTCCACAACAAATGATGTCAATCAATTTTGTATACCCTGATTTTTGAAAGATATCTTGATACTAACTACGTGATTTCCAGTTCCAGAACGGAAGACTTCAACTTCCAGTACTCAGTCTCTACCAAAGCCTGCAGAGAAGCCCAGCAAGAGACATGTGGTGATAAGAACAGATTACACGGAAACAAACCCCCGTGTTAGTTTGAGTACGACTAATACAACTGTTATGTACGAACAGAAAGTCTCCAATAAGACCCCTTTGCTCCATGAATATAAACATACTGCTTCACAGACTAAATCTAGACCAAGTTCTTTGCCTTTAAAACCTTCCCTTCGCAATAGGTCAAAATCGATAGACAATAGCCAAAAAGATGAAAAGAAGGAGAAAAAGAGCTTCGAAAGCTTACACAGATTGAAAGAAAAACTGCTATACTCCAGTCCTGATCTGAATGAAACTAGTGACAATGAAAGTACACCTCTAGTATCTGAAGTGTCGACTCCTTCAAAATCTGGACAGAGTTCTGAAGCAAAAACTTCCAGTTCTAAAAGCTTTCCTTTATCCCCTGAGTCACAAAGAAGCTTATCGCCAGAAAAGCCGCTAACTAAATTTACTAGAAGTGAAATGAATCTTACGGAGACTACAGAGCTTAGTCCCACAGGAGCTTTCTCAGATAGTCAAATCTTTCTGGATAACCAAGACACATATGGTGCTAATGATTATCCTTTAACCCCAGATTACTATCACGAGCGCAAGAGAACTCTTTCTGATGGTACAAGCACGTCTGTTTCAGCGTATCTAGTGTCTTTAGACCATAGTCATAGTAACCATAGCATACATAGTTGTTCTCAAAGTTCGGGGCATCTATCTAGACAAAATGCCTTGGATTCTGAAGAAAATTTAACAGACGTTTATTGCGAACCCGGTAGCAAAAAAGATTGATCAGAAGTGTGCAGATTAAAAACTTGTAAAAAATGTACTTATTTTAGAGCAAAATGCAGTATTTTTAGATTAAGCGGACAATACTTACGTTTGTTTACCAGATTTGTGATTCGAGATTATATAGTGCACGTAATAGTCAATAAAAACATTGTTTTGTTTTGAAGATTCGTTTCATTTTCAATATTAATAAAGTGTGTCTAAACTTGTCAACCTTGCATCCTGTGGACCACGAAACGTGCATCATTTGGTAACAGATTTAGTCAGGATTTGTTATACCAAATATCACACTTTAAGAAGTTCTAGTCCAACAATGTGCAAAAAACCATTAAAAATGCAATATATTCTACAAGAGTTATGGTTATACTTAATACTTGAAACAAAAACTCTCACATTACTTACCCCATTTCCCCAAAGAAAGATATGATGATAAAAATCATTTATCTATCAGGCTTCACTATTATATAATAACAGCAGAAATTAAGAAATATAATAACAATAAGTTCAAACAGGAACTTGCAAGTTGTTTAAGGGAGATTCCAAATTTTAACCAGTTTGGAGAAAAGTAATAGAATTGAAATTTATGATAAATAACGATGTATATGCTGTATATCCTCTGGCGTAGCTACCTTGGGGACAACTTGGTGCAGAAGTTGGTGGTGTCACTCCATAGATCATCTAATATTTATATTTAAAATATTGAACAAATAAAAACTAATGCAGAAGAAATATTTTTTTCTTAATACTAAAATCTCTTCTTTCTAGCTTTGACAGCTGTAAACTCAGAAATAACTTATCAAAATTTATATTTTGTATTGCCTCGTGTTCGATGGCTGATATATCAAGATTGCTAAGCCGCGATTGGGTCACTGTTGCCCGCAAATAGTTTTATTAATATTAATTTACTGAAACTCCTTTCACATGAAGCTACGGATACGCAAACGTCATGAACAATTTTAGTGCAATCATAAGATTTGGAAGAGATTCTGTAAAATCCCATTCTACAATAAACTTCAAAAAATCCATAGATACCCAATCAGAAACTGTAACATCAGTGGCTTTTGAGTGTCTTCACAGTCTTGGTATCTCTAAAAGTGATTCTTTTCTTCAGTATTCGCCAAAAGTAAAGTATTTGTTTGTACGATCTCTAACAATGAAGCTAGGTCTTGAAGAGACTTCGATCTTGTCTGGAGTCCAACTCTGAATCGATCAAGACATTCCAACATATCTTTTTGAAGTTCTTCTTTCAGTGTGAGTCTTGCATCACTGGCAATCTCACCAACCACCCGTTTTTTACGACGAAGTCATCTTTCTTTTGGAATATCGTAGTCTTCCGATTTTGGGGGAATCCCCAAATTATACGTACATGGAGCTGAGCTAGTGCTTGTGGAGGAATCACCGAAGAAGACAGCTGTGCTAGCGATTTAATTTTTTTCATGTTTGTACATTTTTCTTAAAGTTACAGAGTCACCGGGTGGGTGTCACCCCCAAAAAAGGTGACAGCCGGTGCGGACCGCCCCCGCCGCCACCCTCTTGCTACGCCACTGTGTATATGTTACGTATATTGTTAACCAACATTTATTTAAGAAAAAATGAATCTAATTAGTTGTAAAATATTAACAACCATGGTAGCAGTGCTGTTCAACGTTGTCAGTGTGAAAAATCTGGTTATTATCGGAATCTTTGACATTATTCCTATTTTCAGTTATGTTGTCTAATGTATCCACAATCTACTTACACAATGTAAAAGAATAACAGTTTCAGATGCCTTCAAATGCTTTGTTTGTGAGCTCGGTATTTAAAACCAACGTAAGCAAAAAACCTTGTGACCCATCGTCTGGGTCGGCAACTAGCTTTTTTTTTATACTCCAACTACCACGAAGGCCTAAGGCCTAAGCACCCATTGGGTACCGTGGGGCTATAGGGGGATACATGGGAAAAGGGGGGACGCCACACGGACTCTGGCGAGGGAACACGTGTGCATGCAACATGCACACATTCTGGCTCCGCCTACGAGAACCGCCGGGTGGTACCTCCGCGTTCGACAGTCAGAGACCTACGGACAATCACAACATCCATAGCCAAGAGAAAAATTTCTCCTGGGACGGGACTCGAACCCGCAGAGCGCACGGCGACTGATCAGGAGACCGAAGAGTCTACTACTGCGGCCACCGCTGCTGCCTAAAACAAACACACAACATCCATGGCGAAGGCGAGATTCGAACTCGCGGCCCGGCCGGCCGGCTGATCAGTAGCACGACACTCTGACCCACGCGGCCAACCGAGGTCCCAAGCTCTTCTATCATAGGCGATGCGGAAAAACCTCCAGATAGAACGCAGTTTTATTTTAGATGTAAACTTGCGGATGCAATAAACAAAACACACAGGCAAGCGTAGAGTCCTCAAAAATATACTTTAACAAAGCGAGTGTCTAATTTTTGCCTAATTTTTATCTTAACTTACTTCATCGAAGCCGCCAAATGCTTATCACTGAAAATGTGGTTAAATGTTTTTGGCTATTAGGCCGTTGTCTTCTATTTTGAAGGCTTGACTTTTCGCAGACACGAGCGGTTGGTGCGCATATGGAAGTGAATTCATAGGAACCACTAAAAGATCAATAAATACCATAATCAGGGAACATAAAACCCAACTGCTGCTTGGGACATACTGATAAATCTGCCGTGGCAGAACAAGTTTAAAAAACAAATTACCGTATTAAATTCGAAGAAAAAGTCTTAGCTACTACATCTTCTTTTCATACCAGATTATACAGGCAGCAGCGGTGGCCGCAGTGGTAGACTCTTCGGTCTCCTGATCAGCTATGGATGTTGTGATTGTCCGTATGTGGTAGACGGTATCTGACTGTCGAACGCGGAGGTACCACCTGGCGGATGTCGTGTTCCCTCGCCAGAGTCCGAGTGGCGTCCTCCCTTTCCCCTGTATCGCCCTATACCCCCACGGTACCCCATGGGTGTGTTTAGGCCTTAGGTCTTCGTGGTAGTTGGAGTATAAAAAAATACAGAGAGACCTTTGAAATCCAAAAACGTCCGGACAACTTCAACAAATATGATTAAGCGATTAAAATATACAAAACAATGCAATTTCAATAACGGTACCACCCGTGCGCCAATGAGCAAGAACTCTGGCAAATCTGCGGTCACCCGAGCGAACATCGCTCATGACAGTGTCATTGTAGACTTCAAGATTGCACAGCTTTTGAAGATGCCAACCGCTCATGTTGGCAAGGCTTAAAGCGTTTAAAACAGAAGACCACCGCCTAATACGCCTTACACAATTCAGAATGTTGCGAGTAGTCAAAAGTATAATTAGTGTAGTATCAAAAAATACTATTTCTCAATCTAATTTCGACTGGTCGTCCATGTTCACTGTGCAGGTAATTAGCTGCTGAGCCAGATAGTTTTAAAACTAATTACAGATTAACAATTTTACCAGTCCACGTGAATGTATATCAAGGAGATATTATTGGTATGACAAATGTGAAGAGATTTAGAAATTACTGATTTTTTTTTGATGCATTTTATTAATGCAGTAAAACACAAAGATGTCATATTTTTTATAATATTCATAATTTCAATCCTGCGAACCTTGATAAGCTCAATATGTTCTTGATTTGAATCGGGAAGATATCTGTAATTTCCTTATTCCAGTCGCAGTATCTTCGTATTTAGGTTCTGCCTTCAGTATATATAAAAAAATAATATACTTCAAGTCCCCACTCTCAACGTATTGCTAAAGTTTTGGGATACTCTTGATATGTGGGCAGTACTTAACCATTGCAAAGCTGCCATTTACTATCCTCATGATGGCGGTTAGGTGTTTTTTACTACTATCAGTATCACGTCAATCACAAAGTTATCGGCTGTGAAGCTGATTCATGAGGTCACATGATTGGTGGTAGTAGGGAGGTTTAATAAAATATCCTTGAGGAATCTGTTTTAAATTAGCTCCCCAGTAGGCGTTTTTATAATTAAAAGGGAATCTTCAATCGTGTCGAGTTGCTTGTTCTTGATGATACAGCGAGTCGTGTGTTAATTGCTAGGTTTCTATGCCAACATACCATACCCTCCGAGGCTCTTGTACTATCTACAGTTTGATCGATTCATTTTTATCAAAATCATGGGGGTTATAACCGAAACGGATATAATTCCTGAGAAAGTCGATTATGAGCGAGTGTATCAATCATCAAATGTGTCTTCTGTATCCATCGATTCGGAAAGTGATTCCGATAGTGACTTAGTGGACACTTTCAAAGAATTTCATAAGGAAAGCCTCCTGAGACCTTTTGCAGTGCCGACAAAAAAGTATCTAACAAAAGCCGAAGCTGACAGGATGCTCGTCGAGAACTTCAGTGACGACTTCAAGAAGGTCATGAACGAAATTCGAGAAGAATCAGGGGTAGGCTTCAGGGGTGCCCGACAAGGAGGGGCAGTTGAGTCCGCGGCACCCCTTTGAGAATAAAATTTTCCTATTTAGCATAGTTGTGTGTAGAATATTGGGAATTTTGTAGGATCTGCCCCCCTCCCTGAGAAACTTTGCCACCCCCCTCTCTTCAAACAGTTTTGGTGGCTGATATAGTTTCACAAAAAGTTGCATGTTGACGATGCCCCCTCCATGGAAAAAAATACTGCAGACGAGCATGGAAGGATTTTCCCAGCGTCAAGAATATTATGCATATATGAGCAACCCATATGTATGAACGGCGAATGTCACATGATCAGTATTGTCTGTGATTCCACTTTGAAATTATTTTACCGTGAAAACCACGGGTGGTTTTTTAAGCACAAGAAAGTCCAGATGTCGGTCGATTTGGATGGTTTTGCCTCAAATTATTTTGGGTAAGAAAATCACATAACTAATACTTCCCACGCCAATTATCACTTTCATAATATCTCTATTACGTTTTTTGTATGTTACATGCCATGTACATCATGATAAACTATGACGCTCATTTCCGTCGGTCTTTCTGTCTCCGGCTAATCCTTGACTCATCTGTAAGTTCAAACTTACTGTACTTACTATGTCAAGGACAAAAAGGCTGTATGATTTTCAAGAATCAACTCAGTGGCGGTGGAACCACGGGCGTGTAAAGAAAAAAATGGCCTCTAGTAGGTTGACGCTGTACTTTCCACATAACGCTGTCATCGGTTCATGTGTGATTAAATGAATCAAGTCAGTCAAATCGGCCTACACAATTAATCCATCGTCCTCACCTTTTCGACAAAGTTGCGATCTAGAAATGTTTCTCCTGCCCCATCGACAATATCTGCCATCAAATATTTCTCTATCGTTATGTTCTGATAAGTGAAATCTGTTTAATAGGTGCGTAGAATTAACAGGCTAGCGTGGAAGCATTGTATACTAATTACTACTACTGAGATATGCTCTCCCCCCACCCTTAACATCCAATGTCTAAACAATACAAACACGTTCGTGCAAGTGATATGGAGCCTTTGAAACGCCTTTGACCGACTTTAATTTTTTTGCTTGTAGCACCGCCACCACTAAACCGATTCTCAAAAACTACACTTTCTTTTTTGTCCTTGACAAAATAAGCACCCCCATGTCAAACCTTCATAAGAATCCAACCAGTACTTTTCGAGTTATAAAGCGGTCAAGAAGTAGCGAACAGACAGACCGACAGAAATAGGACATGTACCTACATTTCATGTAACATCCAAACAACATATCTCAATTTCGAAATTTTGCGCTATCGCAATACTTCCTCACCAGTGGCGTGAGAAGTAATAAAAATCGCAAAAAATAAGTTGATGCAGGCTCCTGGTACTTTCAGAAAAAAAAATGTAGAGGTTTAAAAGAGAGGTCAGGGATTTAAGGGGTGGGGGAAGGTCTATGTTTTTTTTTGGCGTTAGTATAGAGTACGCTTCCAACCGCGATAATTTTACGGACCTATTAGACACATAATAGATTTCCCCGTACATTTGCTCTCAGAATAGAATGTTAGGGAAATATTTTCAACTAATGTGTCGCAGCAACGATATGAGTATAGGTATACCTGCCACGTGGTTAAGCGATGTGCTGTTGGTGAGGTTAGTCATAGCAACGTTGTCATATGGTTGTCAGAGGAGAAATTTCTAGACCGCAACATTGTGAAATGGGTGGGAACTATGAACTAATTGTTTGGTCCTGTATTACTGACTTGATACAAACAAGTTTTTTGTTATGTCCGTAGGTATTTTTTTCTCAGAAGATCTAATTTGAGCCAAACATAGTCCTTTATGAACCGATGACGGCTTTACATGGAAAGTGCAGAGTGAAACTACTTGACGAGATTCTTTTTAATTCCAACCAACAATAATAAGTCGATTTTACCAAAACGGACCATTCCTAATCTTCCAGTCTCCCCCTTGACCTCGAGTATGCCACCCCTTGATAACACGTTCTTGCCGATAATTATCGCTTTCTAGCTTATGTTTGCTATGTTGCACTGATTATTATATTTTTAGATCCCTTCAGGAGAGGAAAGTATGATTTAATAGTTATTCATAGGCGAGTAGTACGAGATACTCGTATATACAAGATATTCCTGAGCAAGCTTATCGCAGTTTTTCAGGGTGGCTGATTTTAGTTTCCTAAGTGCCATAACTGGTATCACATGAAATTCGAGGTCATTTGAGGTCAATTGCAAATTCTAAGAGATTCTATAGAAGGTATACGTTTGAGATTTTATAGTAAAAGACTCTAGGTACGCTAGATCTGCTATACTTTGCAAATTCTACTCACGTACTAATAAATATCAAACCATACTTTCTACTCCTACGGGTAACCTACCTGTATAAAGCTAAAGCGGGATAAATGTGAGTGAAAGGACGTTTATTAATAAGGAGTTGCTATGCCGATTTATCAAGCAAATTTATGTTTGAAAGCGATGTCCGATGGTTCGTTTATAGTGAAATTGACGTATTGACGTATTATTGCTTGTTCGCGTCAAAAACGTAATCTGATTTTTTCACCCAGAAATGTTTGACACAAAAATCACCCAAGTTGACACCATCTTTTGCTATGAGATTAAAAAATGTATTTCTCATGGAAAAGCTAACCAAGATGAAACGATTTTCACCAAGACCATGCCCTTTTTATTTGAATTAGAAGTTGTTTTTTTTATTCAATTATAATTTCTTGGATATTCACATATAAATTCTAAAATTGGATTAACTTGTAAGGAATAAAGTGAATGTAATCAATGTTTTTTGACGATTTCTAGGCCATTATTTATTTGTTATCTTTGTATTACTGATCTTTTAGCTTGGCGATTCCTGGCTTGATGAAGCTACATACATTGAAGAAGCTTTTACCATAAAAAGGGCGTTGCGTGAAATAAGGTATGAGGTAGATATTGTATGACTGCCTGTGTATTTAACTTAGCAAGTGTGCTCATTTAAGAAATAAGAATACTTTTTAAACCGAAGCAGCCGCGTAGGCCTAAATACCAGTGCAGCACGGCTGCTATAAGGAGAAAACAACTTTGTTGATACGATTTTTGAGCTGCCTAAGATTAACAGAACTGGATATAGGCACCTTAGGTAGATCGTTTGACAGTCTTCATACCCTAGGAACAAAGGAGCGGTCGTATCGACCAGTTCTGGACGTACAAAGTTCGACTCGGATACATTGGGAGGCCGAAGTCAGACGGGTCTGTCTGACAGGCTTGTGCCACGGCATCATGAAGAAAAGCTCTGAGGAGCAAAGCCCGTTGACATAGCGGTCGGGTCTTGAGACCGTCCGTTAGAGAAGAACATCTCAATCATGTGAGGTAGGTGTTATTTGCGCCTTGTACAGAGTGAGGAGGTCATGTGGAGAAAAGTACTTCGTATCCATAAACGAATAGTCTAGCTTTTTCCCAGCAGCTGCCGCAATAGGAAGTTTCGACATTTTTCATAATTCTCTTATTTTAATTAAAATTGAGAGATTTTGTTATTAAAAAACAGTATAAAAACTTTGAGTGCAAAATATTAATATTTACGTCGACGGAAAGCATTTTAAAATCAAGGATCGACGCGAGGCTAGAAAACGTACCTGTAGCCAGACACGTGCTGTCGCCCTCATAGAATACTTGTATCTTGTGTCTTGAATACGGAGTGAAGAGTATACGAATACGGATTTATTTAAACTGGGACCGACGTTTGTGTACTAGCACAATGCTCCAAGGTTATCAGAAAGCTGATTCGCGAAATTTACCCCATGTGAATGTGGAAATAGTGTACGAGTTTTTGGCAAATAATGCAAATTTAAATGAACCTCAGAGCAGCGGTGTTAAAGTAGCTTAGTAAGTACCTATAAGAAGCTAATTTGTTTGTTTAGCTCCAATGGGTAGTATTTTTTTGTATTTCTTCGCAAAAATTAATCCTGCTTTACTTTAGTCTATTGAAAGCTAATAATATTAAAACATGCTCGTGACAATAATTTTGAAGGTTATTTATCTCTGCTTTTTTCTTCCTAGGTAAAATATTATGGAATTTAAATTATCATACATATCTTTTTACCTTGTTACCCCTATTAAGAGCCCCGAAATTGGTTCTTTTTGCATGCACAATGAGGCTTTATTATACTATTCTGAAGTAAAGTATGGTACCTAATATATTTTCAATGAGAGAAATTCCAGGGATGTCGAGAGAATCTTATTTTTTGAGGGTCTATTGGGGAATACTTAAATTAGGGGGGGGGGGCAGTCACATTATAGAATTTTATAGCTACTAAAATAACAAAGTTTAAGGCTGCATTCGGGAGATGGGCAATAAAGCCAGGTTATAAACGTTGACTAATATTGCGCTTAGAATGACTACGATCTCGGCAGTAAGCTGGTCAGCTTCGCTGTCACTACTTTCAGTACTGCTTCCACTGGCTTCATACGAATCAGATTCGGATGTTTCTGTTATTCCGGGACTTTCAAGACTTGTCCCGTTCACTTTCCTCTTGCAAACGTTTTTTGGCCGCTCTGAAATCTGTTTAGCAAGCGCAGGAGTTCTGATTGGCGATACAGCAACATCCATTACTTTCCGTTTTTGCGAGATTTGAACTGACTTGCTTGTAAAATGTACCTGTTTCGTTTGACATGCCTTGTAACATACCTGTGACTGAACTTCTACTGTTAAAGGTTCAGGCGGTTCATCATGCTCCTCCTCAATTACTTCCACGCCTTCAGGCTCGGACTTTTCGTTTGCCGGTCCCGCCCGGCGTGCCGCCGCTGGCTGCAAATATTTGGCGATATCTTTCTGCCTTGCTCTTTTTTCGTAGAGCTTAATTGTCTACCCAGTTGACATGCTAATTTTCCAGGTCAAAATGGTCTTCGCAGCAGTACATGGCCGACGTGGAAGAAACTGATTTTACATCCCGTCGAGCTGCGTCAAACCACTTTTTACGTTGTGCGGTAGCTTTTGAAACACTCACAAAAATTTTTTGTGGTGTTGTACTTGACCTACTTGTACATTTTGGCACAAAACACCACTTTCTGTTCGACATTTAACACTGTCAAAGTTCACAGAATTTAACAATGATCTATCGTACCAGCACTAACTACTCCAAACCGGTTACTGGGGCGTTGTTGTGAGAATGGTAAATGCAGCGGGCGAGCTAGCGAGGTGTGTCTGGCTACTGACGTCACGCGGTCTAGTCTCGCGCATAGGTACGTTTTCCAGCCTCGCGCCGATCCTTGATTTTGAAATGCTTTTAGTCGAATATTTTTTGCTCAATTTTTTTAACGCTTCTTAATAACAAAATCTTTCGATTTGAGTAAAAATCAAAAAATGGCGAACCTTCCTATTGCCGAGGTGTGTTCGTGTCAGATCAAGTCCTCGGTAATCTAAACTCCGACCAGCCGGAATCAACGGCTCCTTGGTAGAACTCGACCATACGTCGAAACTGGATGAGCGCTAGAGCGCTTCTTGTTCGTCAAGGTGCAAAGATCTTGGCAAGCGTATCCGCCTTAGCCTTTGAGTCGGTTACAATCGTTTCATCCTGGCACGTGAGTGGTGGAAGGCTTCTCAGTGAGAAGTTCCTTCCAATTTGCTTGGCCAGCGTCCAGAAATACCGACTGTAATTGCGCTGCAACATTACCATGTGTGTAATTTTAACGTAGTGCATTGCGAACCGCATCGTTATATTTGTTTCTGGACTCCACGTCAGTTTGTCTGTTCTCTACAGTGGTAAGAAGGTTCTGTCTGCCTTGACTTCTGCTGACGAGCAGTGTCGCACAATTAGTTAAACTAGCGTTGGACCCTGATTTAGACACTTTCACTGTATGAAGGATGTATTTCTCCATCCCAATGCAGATAATTTCGGTTATTGATGAATAGACAGCAGACTCATCCACGTCAGCGAAAAAACATCTCTTCAAGAAAAGGTGGAGAAAAAGATTCTGAGCCCCTACCAATCGGTTTGTCCGTAATGCCAAAACTAACCTCCACAACACCGTGGTTTTTGTTACACAGGGCAGACAGGACAGAAGTGCTGAAAGGGAAAGTATGCGTGGCCAGCAGAATAATGACGTGTGATGAAGTAAGGGGGAAACAGTAGGGCTCGTTACCAGCTGAGTCAGCCTTTGGGTAGCGCCGATCGCTTCAACAGCACGGCCAGCTGATCTTGATTGAGCCCAACCAGAACTCATTATGGGCATTGAAATTACGGAAGTATTCAAATAGGCCATCCCAGTTATGTTAAGATGAAGAGCGGTAGAGGCAGCAAATAAATTTGAGGGATGATCTATAGCTGAGCCGAAGCCACATAATGTCCTTCCAGCCGGATTACAAAGAAATCTTTCTGGAGCAGGAAAGACCGCTGCGAACAAAAACCACAACTTCCCCATTCTTCCTCAGCATAGAAGTACGTCTCTGATATGTAGGATCATCATCTTATCATCAGATTTTATATATTCGAGCTTGTCCTCAGATGCATGTAGGTCGCGGAATAACAATATCACAAGTTCCTATGAGAAATGTCACTTATGGAGATACAGAGTCCTAAAGGATGCTACATAAAATTTTGTATAAGTTCGCTTCAATTTATTGAGTCATTCAAATCACTAGAGGCAAACAAGCTCAACACAATATTGCTACCTTCTTTCCACGATCAATGATGATATTTTCGGAAAGCCGGATCCGTAAGCTGAAAAAATATACAATTGATTGACATTGATGAAATAGATCCAGTATAGTGGAATGAAATTGAAATACTCGTATAGTGCTTCTGTTAACACATAGCAACCCGAAACATTCCAATATATGAACTTTCAGACTACTTAACTTTTTGGACATCGGTATCTGTGGAAATCAGTAACAAAATTATTGAAATGAACATGTTTTTCACGAAAACGGCTGATTTTATTGAAACCAAATAACAGCTAATAGATTAGGATTTCAGTTTCAGTTGAGCCGTTATTATTCAGGGTGTGAAAAATCACCGTCACTGCTAATGAATCTGGTCTATCGAAATAAGACAGCACAAAGTGCCAACTATCATCAGAATTGACCACATAGAGAGTGAAAATAGCAAGCTGTCTGATGGAACTGTATCCCAGTATGCATTGTCAGTTTAAGCTATGTGTTCTACGTGAGGCCCCAACTGGCTTCTATTTTAAATGAAGAAAACTATTTCATTGATGGAGGAATATGTTTTTTAGCCAAGATATGATACCACCGCAAGACCAAATACTCATCGAGAAGAAAGATAGCTCAAGAAAAAGTAGTGACTCTAGTGTAGAGTCTACGACATGGGAGCTATTGAAGGTGTCAAGGGAGAAGCAGAAGTTCGAAGTAAGTTCGCCCGATTTTGATGCCTTCCGTGGACCAGAGCAACACTGGTTACAGAGACCTGACGTCCCGTGGAAGGTGGTGGACACATCGAAAACTAAATGTGAAAAGTGGTTGAATCAAGCTACTGGATATTTACACACAATATAAAAATGCATAATGGTATATAAATAAAACACTGCATCAAATTGGATAACACACTGAACACTATTAAAAAAACTGAAAATTACACACCAAAAAGTCAAAGAATCAGAAAGCAAGTTTTGACTACAACATTGTTTACCTTAAAACGCTAATGATAAGAGATGAGAAATTTAAAGATCAACGTACTATTTTTATGTCATATTTTAATGATCTCATCTGATATCATCTAAAACTGAACATTTCAGATTTTTTTTCATTTATTATGCGTAAGAAATTGAACGGAACTGATTTGCATAGAATTTATTAAAAAGTTCAGACGTAAACAAGTGTTGCAAAACATTGTCAGTTGCTCTATATACCTTGAAAATGTAAAAGTATTCTGTACAAGAGTGATACCAAAATCAAACAGCAAATGTAGGCGAGCAAAGATGCTGTCATGATAAAAATCAACGAACCTACCATTAGTCATTTTTGATTTACAAATCCCAGTCACTAACAAAACTTTTTAGGCCAGGGACTTCGCGAATTATTTTTACTGTCTTAATTCCGTTATAGTAATTGTTTGCCTCTAATGTTCACTCCCATACCCAAATAGAGATCATTCATTCATTATTACTGAAAGTAGTCTGCCGCCAGGGTCGTAGTAATCAAATGAATCAAATACAATACATATACTATAAATTGAAAATTTGAACTGATGGCAATAGGCAAAGAACTCCGTGATCATAAAATCCATTTGAGGAGATTCAGATCATTTTACTCTTGATTTTGGTCAAATATCCTCGACTATCTTAGCTGCGTTCCAGTGGTTTTCGGTTTAAGAGTGACATGCCCCCGAAATGTCCATGGAAGTACACAGTGCAGTGGAGCGATATTGGTGTTGAGCATTACTCAGTTACCCGAGTAACTCATCTGGAACACCGGAAAGTAGCTCTGGTTCTCCAGATATCTGAGATACTTGCCAGTGGTTTTTAGTTTGAGAGTAATATGCTTCTGGACAGCTTCTCAAATTATGCATGAGAATACAATGTGCAGTGGAACGTTTTTGCTGCTGAGTACTACTGAGTCAGTCTGAGTTTCTCCGAGTAACTTGAGTGGGTCACTGTAGAGAAGCTCATGGTCTGGAAGAAAGAGTGTAAGGAGAAGGAGAAAATAGGAAAGGGAGAAGAACAAAAAGGTGGAAGTGTGTCGATTGGAGGAGTACCTTGGTATTTTTTATTGATCATCTGGATTCACAAATCTAAATTGATCTACACATTCGAGGTCTGTTGTTGATTGGTTGAATCTGAAATTGTACAATTCAATCTTGTTCACAACGCGGGTTGCGGTGGGCTTGCCAATTTGCTCGACTCTGTAGTCTACTGACCCACACAACGTTAACTTATTATAGTTCCTTAGGTATGTACTATGGACCAGACACAAGGTCGCTGCTCTGAGAATCTGATTACTGGTCTAATAACCATTTTGTGTAGCTGAACTTTGTTGATTAAACTTAATTTGAGTTTCTACATAACATACTGAAATGCCAGGTTATCTTCTTGTTAAGACTGACACCAAGATATTACGAATTTACGCATGCTACGTAAGATTGATTCGTTGAAACCTCTTCCAAGACCTCGCTACTCATTGTAATACACTGGATCTTCGAATGATTAATTTTGATTAGCCAACGATGGGCCCATTCTAATACTACTTGATGCGAAATTTACTACACACAACAAGAGCCAACCTACACATTGTAGTATAAAATAGCTAGAAGACCTCGAATTTTCAAGGCGACAACTAACCACAACCTCGCGGCCGGTTATAGCTACTTGCAGAGGTACGATGTATGGGCATGTGTATTTATTTTTGTAGTTGCATATGTGCATTCATTTCGGGCCTGATGAAGCCAACCAGCAGATATACATATCGCTCGGGTTACCTATCCTATTTTCTGCTCGAATCCACTTTCCTTCTTTTTGCGGATTTTGTCCATTATTTTACTTTTTTATATTTATTATATATATAGGTGAAAAATAAAGCTTCCGCCTTTAGTTGGGTACTTCGACAAAATTCAAGCAATGAGGACTCTTTATACTTTATTAGTCTCTAGCTTTCAATGGACTATGCCATCATCATCAGGAGAATAGTATGTGAGATTGTTGCTGAATGTTATTAAAGGTTAAGTTTAGGGAAATATTTAGCAACCTGGTAAAAGCTGGATCCATGGTACATTCGTTAAAATTAGAATAAAATACACACAGCTGTATGTCAGGAACACATAAAAACGGATTCAAAATATTTGGAACGAAAGTTAAAATTAATACATGTTACATCGTGAAACAGCCTGATGCTGCACACCATTTTGTACGACCATGCGAGTCATATTTTTATCTACGAAAATATAGGTATAACACTAGTCAAATCATTATTCACAAAAACACATTTCCATATAACCATATCGTCGATTTTAGAGTTCCACGCTCAATTTCGCTGTTTCGCAGAATGCTGAAGTGAGACCAATTCCTTGCAACAAATAATACCCGATTATAAAAATCATATCCTTCCCCCTTATAGACTCTGGGCGTCAAAAGTAGGTACTATTTGCTTGAAGCTGCAGTCAATCTCTCGTAGAAGATGTCGTTTCATTATTTCAAAGACTTGCGGCATTTATATTTCAAGTTATAACAAGGATCAGAAGCTTTTCAATGACGGAAAGTCTTTCGCTGATACCAAAGATGCAACATTTACAGCCCCCTGCCACCTAAAGTCCCTAACTCCGAATTTTTTGACTCAAACATTATTTCTGCATGTTGAGTTAGGTATCTAGTTCACAACATAGTATTTTGAATATCGAAATTACAGGAATTCTGAAATTTACAATCCGCGCATCGTTAAATTTCTGATGTCATGCATTTATAAAATGAAATTCTTCTAAATCTACTATTCACCACTTCGAGCATAGGGGTCCTGCGTTATTGCTCCTATGTCTGGGGAGTTGTTGATCCTACTGAGTATTGCTGCAATTTATAAGAGAGTAGTGCGAATCAGCAATCTGGTACTTTTACACTAATATATCAACTAACTTTGTTCCTCTGCGACATGTATGATGCCGCCACTTTTGGTCCTGCATTAATACAAAACTGCAGTACTATATTCTGTGATGCGTTGAATACATTCGAAATATTAATTACGGACCTGTATAATTTTCACATTACTCAGAATGATTTATTTTGATTGCAGTGCTGTAATAAATGACAATCATTCATAGGACCACTGTAATTCAAACATTTGACCTATACTAGCACAAACGAGTACGTAGATATATTTTCTTTTTTATAATACTCCACGTTTTGACCGCGTTACATAATATGCAGCGCAATATGGCGGATTTCAATCTGATATTTCAGCGCAAATGGCGTTATTTTTGAGCGAAGGTTTAAAACCAGTTTCGGGCAATTACAATAACAAGATTTTACTTGTATTTTTTCATGACGAAGTGGAACGAATTCAGCGACTGATCTTTCTTAATTCCTTGAAAGTGAACAGCTACTACACGTGATCCTTGCCCGCAGTCGTAATATTTATGTAATTCCCAGGAATAAAAAATACAAATTATCAATATCTTCTTGCAAGGTATTAAATTCCGATAAGCGATATTGTGAAATCTCTTCTGTATATTGTTCTTTAATGCTTTGTTCTTAATTATTCTGGATGGTTGATGAATGGATTACTATACGTGAAATTTAACGCTTACTTTTGTTCTGTGAAAAACGCGCTTCCTCCTTAATTCAGACATCTCCCTAAGGCTGTAAGGCTGATGTCACATCTCTTAAATGCATAAATGCACAAAATCTCTTGAACTAGGCCAAAAATCGGTTCGAACTGTATCAACAGCAAACCTTCTATACTTTTGGCACATGCCTACCATATGTTATGCAACATGCATCCGGCAACATGCATCCGGTGCTTGTTATTAGCGACATTTTGTTTGTACAAAAGGGTCGGGCATATAATACGAAAATGGAAACGAACTATATCATGATAAGTCCCAAATTTGTTGTAATGGATGGGTACCTTAAGGGTAAGTTTTCCTTTCACCTCCCTAGACCTAAATTGTGGAGACGTGCTCCCACCCATAGGCGTATCCACACCCGTTCTTCAATTGTCACAAGAACATTCGCTCTCAGATGCCGTGCTTAAGCTTACAGCCGCCACTTTCCCACTGTTCAAGCTCGAATCGCCGATACCCCCTGCACGATAAATTTGAAACATACACTCTACATGCTGGTAGTTAGAGCACTATACCAATCTCTGAGATTAAAATGGAGAGACGACTGGTGTAGTGATTTCCTTTCTGAAGCTAGAAATTAGTTGGGCATCCACTTTTTCTTATTCATTCTGGAAATTACATATGCAAATTTGCGGAATTTAAAAAATGAGAGAGATAAGAAAAGGATATCCCTGGTTGGTGAAGTAACAGCGGAGAAAATATGCTACAGACAGGAATATTTATGAAATCGAATTATAAAGTAGAAATTTTTTTTTTATTTCCAGTCATTTCAATTTTATAGAAATTTATTTTGCGATGTCAATATGAAATACAAATCATCGCCTAGATGTCAGGCACAGCGAAAATGTTGCGTCATTCCTAATTTTTCTGTGATGTGGCTTCATTACACACAGCCCGGCCGCGGTGGCGATTTCCCGTAATGCTCCTCAAAGTTTTTGAAAACACAAAAACGGGAAGAATCGTAAATGATAACTTTGAACATAACCTGTCTTCAGAAAGGACAACATATAAATAGCTCGTCGGGCACAGCTAATAGATACACTTCATTGGCAGCATATTCAGTAATAATTTTCTCACAATATCAGTAATTTTATACACATGCAGACCAATACACATAATCATCCAGATGCGATCTTGCTACTCAACCAACGTTCATTCACATCTTCTCAGAGATAAAGACTACAGACGACACAGCGATCATAGCGAGCAAACGTGGAATTGACTATTTGCACCCTAAAACCTACCTAGTCTGCAAGATGACATTTCGTCGTTTTTTTGACCTTTTTG